ATATATGAAATTATGAATGTGGTTGAAGTTGAATTTGTAGCTGATTTTATCATGAATCTGTAGCTGATTTTATCATTTGTACCAACTATTATTTGCCTTCACCAAAAGAGTTATTAATTTCAAGATTTTTTTGAGCTTTATGAATGCAGCGTTTTTTAGTTTCAGTAGGTAGCACATTCTGCTATACATCCTCTTCCCTTCTCTACTTTAAGTTTACAATTTCTAAAAAAGTTGTACGACTTCATACATTTTTATTTTTGTTCATAAGTATCTTCAAATTTGTATTATTTATTCAGTTCTCTACAGTGTTTCTAACAGGCAAAAGTGTAGATGTGAATATTACTATCATTATAAAGGAGCTACCTCAACAATAACTTAATTGAACAAGCAATCTGCATGTTTGACTTATATATATATATATATATATATATATATGCATATGTTTTCATTGTAGAAGTATCCGCAAAAAAATAGCGGTTGTGAATTAGATAGTGATTGAATTAGCCCGTGACTAATGTAGCTTTAATAGGTTTTGTTTGTTTTTTAATTAGGGAGTGGAGAAGTTGATTACATTGAAGATGATAATGGCTAATATCAGAGCATCCACTTGGTAGATTACAATTACATAATGGTAATTTTATTTCAATGTTGGATTTTAATTTTAAATGGATCTTTACATGTATTTACGCTCTAAAAAATGACCTCTATTGTGCTATTTCAATTTCTTTTTGTTTAGAATTTTAAGTCTGAGAAGTTTATATGTTGACAATGACTGTTGGCTTACATCGCCTCTGTTATTTGCCCTGATGTGCTATTTCACAAATGACCTCTATTGCCCTTTCCTACATCGCCTTTGTCCTTCACGCTTTGCCTGAAGAATACGACGGCTATAGACTGGACTAAAATGCCGAGTACTCCATCTGTAAAGAAGAGGAGGATATATGGGTGATTTTTAAATATCGAGGTATTTATTTTATCAAATTGGAGGTATTTTTTTAAATTTACTTTACACATTTTTCGTATCACCTAGAACTTTATTAGTTTACATGCTATGTTGGAGAGTTAGATATGATAATCAACAAATGTCCATAGTGGTCTTTGGTATAGTGCGGGATCATGACAACATGCATTTCCAATAATGATAATCAACAAATGTCCATAGTGGTCTTTGGTATAGTGCGGGATCATGACAACATGCATTTCCAATAATTGTGCAATTTTTTTAAAGCTTGAAACATTGAATCATAGATCTGAAGTTATATGCTACACCAAGGAATGTTAGAGAATTCATCTGCTAGCAACTTCTGATGTGTCTGCTACTGTATGATAGATAGATGAAAATAGACTTTTTAGTTGTCGCAATAATACATGTTAAGGTCTCTTAAAAGTGCCAGCTTCCTGCAGGAGCCATACATGAACATACCCAGGGACACTATCATGGAGGCTCTGAGAGTCTTGCTTGGTACATAATCAAGCAAATTTTATCTAACTGAACAAATGGAGCAAGTTAGAAATAGCTATATTGGTGTTGATCTGTCAATGATCTTACCAAAGGTGACTTGATCCGGTCCCTGATTATCACACTCAACTATGTTTTTAGTGTTTATCATGTATTATGCAAATTCTTCTTTTGAAAATGGAGTTAATATAGCAATTATTCTATGATAATTTTGTGTGTCCTCCATATATTCAATTGAGAAATTACACATTTGATTTTGTGAGATTTTGATGGTTATTATAATAAGCTATGCATTTTGTTTGTTCTTTTTACATATTTATAGAGATGCAAGAGCTAAATTTTGATGATTAATAAAATCTTTGGTAATTAAAGTGTTGGTAGGTAACGAAAGTAAAATCTGATTTTGAAAAATTTGTGAACTTGATTCATTTTTAATCTATTTGATTTTAGATCTTAATTTTTCTAGAATGATAATACAACTTATATATCTGTGCTATACTGAAAAGCAATCATCTTTGATATTTTTTCTTTCTTTTTATTGTCAGTAGTGTGTCTATGCCTTCTCAATAAACAATATGAATATATCTTATTTGTTTTGCCTCCAGTGTTGGTCGCTTTGCTTCTACTTTCTCTTTTCTGGTGAGTAAGAGTAGAGAAATGTCCCTGACAAGCAATATGAATCTCTTATGAATTTGTAGCCTGCAATGTATTTGCAGTGTTAAGTCTTCCTTAAATTAGTTCATATCAAACTATACTTGAAACTTATTGAATAGATTGTATTTGCAGTGTTAAGTCTTCCTTAAATTAGTTCATATCAAACTATACTTGAAACTTATTGAATAGATAAATATCATAATTGATATGTAGCTATAAATTAGTTCATATCAAACTATACTTGAAACTTATTGAATAGATAAATATCATAATTGATATGTAGCTATATTTTAATGAAAGGTGATGTACTTGAATTTGATTGCAGGTTGTACAACTAGGTGGGAAAGATATGCTTGCAATGCTTCATATTGGCTTGCAAAAGTGCAGGAAAATTGAATGTTTTTGTAAGTCAACTATTTACTTTACCTCCTTAATGAATATGAGATTTAATGCACAAGCTTCTCCCTTTTCTTTTATTGTAAATACCATGTACAAAATTTTCAAATCTAACAAAATCCCAGTTACAATGAAGGCATGAGTATCAATATTAGTTTAAGCATCATATACATGGCCTTAATATATTTCAATGCACAAGAGATCAGGATGTTTGGCATCTCTCCTTGGAAATAAAACATCATAAAGTTGCAAAATTGTAAATTAAGCTAGAGAATTTAAGACGATGATCATAGAGTATGATCTTTACCAGTTTCATTCAAGCGTGATATTTGTTAATTGTCTTCTTAATATGGTTCATGTTTATCCTTTTTAGAGTCAAGAAATGAGATATTCACAAAAATAACTCTCAAAAGAAAAAAGAAATAATTCAACTAACCTTCTTATGTATTTACAAATGTTGCTGAAGCCAAATGCTCGCGATGATATGGAATCATACGTCATTTTTTGAATTTTGGAATAACATGAGGCAGCTGCTTAATTTGAGATGTGGTAGTCGATATTATTTGTTATCTTAGTTGTTTGTAATATCCTTATAGCGAGTAATTTGTGAGTCTTTAGAATCTATGTATATTATGACTCTGAACGCTATGATGGATTTACCATTATGTATACAAATAAATGCAGAGTAGTCATATGATGTTGGAGGATTGTTAAGTATGTTTTTCTAGAATTGGAAATTAGATTGTACAACTATATTCGCTTATGAATAAGTTATTACTATAGCATTATCACTGTAGCGCATACAGAATATTGTGGCATTTAAAAAAATTACTGTGTCATTTATGAAAAATACCACGGCATTTAAAAATAATTTTTATAACGGAAACAAAAAAAAAGCGGACCGTGCTTTGTACGGGGTGCACACTAGTACTCTTTAAAAGAGAATAAATTAATAAAAGGAAATAATACCACAAGCACGTGGTCAAAGCTTAGCAAACAGTGCACTTTTCGACAATCAAGTAATGTCTCTACAAATTAAACATTTTGGGACGCAAAGCCGCAAGTAAGCACAATGAGGACATTTTAATCTTGTGAGGATTGTGTTGCCCTATCAATTCACATTCAACGGAGTTTTTAACACAGTTAAAATTGGAATAAGTTTACACTTATTAGGAGTACAAATACTAAGTTGAGAAAAATAATAAGTACATAGACCAATTTGAGTATGGAGGCCGGGTATAGGGACCAAAATAGCTTTTTAGCCTTATGAGAAAAAATAAATGCGATCACCAATTTGAGCATGCGGCCCTTGTACATGTATCAAATTGGATTTTTCGCCCACGAAGTTCATGGGTGTGAAGTGAGATTTTTAAAATTGTCAATTGAGTGCAAAACCCAACAATTCGCGGTTGTTTTGTGAAATTAATTATTATTAATTTCGCAGTTAGAATTTGCATTTTTTTTATTTATTAAAAAAAATGTATATATAATACAACCAAGTCTTTCTCCTTTTAAAAGAGCAACGATTAATTTGGCCATGATTATTAGTCGAGGCACTCCTTTTCTAGCTTCTTTCCCTTTTCAGAGAGAACTTAATATTCCTCGTTCTGTAGATTATAGCTTTAGCATCTTCGCAAAATACACTAAAGAAGATAATGGAAGCCGTCAATCCGTTGGAGATAATGAATGCTAAAGAATTTGACTAAATTGCGACTCATATTTTCAACAACAGAAAATGGATCGAGCAATCGGTTGTACATCTGTTATACATACAACAATGTCAACTGGAGCGATCTGGTAAGCATGTAATATTTTCTTGTGCAAAAAATCACAACATAGCAAATAAACTTGCAACAAAGCCGAGATAACCAGCAGTAACCAGCTTCCCGTACAGTTAGTACATAGAAATGTTTGATGCAGCCACAAAATAAGGCTTCAGTCATAAATAAACAGATCAAACAATAAAGCCTAAAGAACGCAACTCCTTACACAAGTTTCAGGGATAAAACAATTAAAGACTTCTGTTTTTGTCAACTAATATAAAGAAAGAAACAACCAATCTTTAATTCTTTATTGTACATGACTATATGTTCTTTAGCAAGCATTGCAGTAAGTTCTTGACATTTTTCACTCTTAGCCGAGTAAAAATGTTCGCTTAAATAGAACTTCGGAGGGGTCTATCTACAACTGGGCTATTTATTACAAGGGGTCTATCCACAATTAACCCTATTTGGAAGCTCTTGAATTTTCTATTAAGTAAGAGAGTCTTCAGATCAAAGAGTCAGACCATCTCCTGAAGTAGAAGCTTAATGTGGTATTTGATCTCTCCGCTTCGATATTTTCATTTCAAGACGTCATTTGCCAAGATTCCGACAAGCCTTCACGACTTATCCCATTAATCACTGCGCCGCTGGGATGTCAATTTGCATATACCATAACGAGAATACACAAGCCATAAGGGTTCTCCCTGTTAGGAAAATAAGAAAAGAAAGAAAGAAAGCAAATTCACTGAACACTGCCCTTCACAAATAAAGAGTTCGCAGCAGAAAGAAGGGGGAGGGGGGCAAAAAGCAAGTCTATAACTTAATGCAATTCATTTGGTATAATCACGTGATACTTTAGAATTGATGCAGATGTTACACCTAGCCTATTCCTTATTATGCTATTAAGAAACTGAAGGTGATGATGAATGCAAATTACCAAAGTGATAGTTGACAGAAAGGTAATTGTCTGTTACTTTGTTAGGCCTTCTAACAGGAAAATCAACAGTGATATAGGAAGCATTTGCTAAGGATCTAAAGATAATCTTAAAACACCAAGCAAAGTGGCTTGTCTTCGCAATATTTCCAATGACCAATGTATTCAGAAACACATTTTCTTATGTCTATAATCCATAGTCCAAAAACTTACCACTATTTATGTGTGTTTTTAGTGAGAACGATGGATTGATAGCCATAAATATCATTCCTTTCATCAATATTACCTTCCTCAAAAGTCGGCGCCCCCAACTGAGTTCTTTCATCAACTCAAGGCATTGATCTTAAAAGTATTTTGACTTGCAAAAGAAGTTTCATTACCAAATTCCAACAAGTGATTGATCTTTTTTTACTTTTATCTTTATTACTCCATGAAAATTATACCAAGAGTTTACGCAGAAAAAAGCAAGGCTACCAGAAAAGTTGAAATAATCTATGATAATGGGGGATCTAACAGTAATTTCAATTATTTGAGGGTCTAATCTCAAAATAATAAAGATTTGGGGGACTAATATTGAGAAAATACAATAAAAGAAAGAAATACTGAACTTTTAACAATAAAATTCATCGCATCAAATATCCAATATACCTCATCCAAGGGCATTGTCGACAATTCAACATTCTTCGACATACGAAGCTTCCACTCTTTTCCTCCTCGATGATCACCTCCGTCTCATTGATGAGATTTTCCGACTTCAAGCTGAACGCCACAAGAGGCTGCTGATGTGGCTCTGGGGTCAGGTCTAGGTGTTGAGTGCTCGGATTATGTTCTCATAATAGTCACAGCATTTGATTGCTGGAACATATTCCTGGATTTACACATTGCGGGTAGCCTTCATTTGCTGCTCCAGTACCACAATTCTCGGGTTGAATCGCCTCATTTGTTGCTCCAGCATCACAATGCTAAGGATTAATCACCTCATGTGTTTCTCCAGCTTCACGAGTCTTGGGTTTAGTGCCTCGCTTGTTGCTCCATCTCCAGAACTCTGGGGTTTAATCATCTCATGTGTTGCTTCTGCTTCACTATCCTGGTGTTTAATCGCCTCGCTTGTTGCTCGAGCTTCACAGTTCCGGGACTCAATGCGATTAAACTGTGGAGTTGCAAGAGGTACTGAGCCCAATAAATTTATTGCGTCAGTAACAAAGGTTTAGGACTTCATAACAAACCGGAAGGCACAGGACTAGCCAATGAGGCCTATCGATTACAGTCAACTTACAGGACGCAAGGGAAGACCCAGTGGACTTAAGACACAATTTGGGATTAGGATGATGAAACTCGCACCAAACTTACAGTCTCCAGGCTTCATGTAGTAGTGGAATTCAGGTTCGTCAAGCCTCAGGAAAGATATTCTCCCTCCGCAGGTATCTAACAAGTGATAACCTCGCTGCTGCAGTTATGTCAATTCCCCAGCAATGACTGTTGTCACCACCCCTCAGAAATTTTAGATATCCCCTTCATCTTACTAGTCTTTTTCATGATAGTTTTCTAGTTTAAGATATCTCCTCCATCCTACTTGTCACCTGCCCAACCTTTTCCCCTTCAATCCCAGACTCCCTTGGTCTCCTTCGGTTGTCCTCTTCTGCAAGAAAATTACAGTTCACTGGCAGAATAATCTCATCCATGATCGCCAATCACCACAAGAGCTCAATTGGGGGTCAGTTAGCAGCCAAATCAATACCCGAAATCCTGAAAGACCTGGAGAAAAGCCCAATCCACCCTTCAGAATAGTCTCCTTCGCATGCGACCTCATGAGCGATCAAGAAGAGCAAGCCATAAACGATGCACACACATTACCAAAAGTGTCCCTTTGACCGTCTGAGCTTGTGCTTCTTGTATGCTGTTGCAAGTAAAGCATGCATTCCTGTCAGACAATGTTCTGACGTTGCAGCATGCAGTTCGGGTCTCAACCGATTGACCAGTTTCACCTATACAGGTCATTGGCAGTGCATAATTAATAAAATTAGAAGCGCACACGTCTTAGATTGCAAACCAAAACTAATGTGCTTGCCTGGGGTCCGTATAGCTGGAAGGTACTGGCAGGGATCATCAGCCTCTCTTTTGTCCAGCTGTTACAAATTAAGGAACAAATAACTTAACATGGTCTAGAAACATGTCAATTGGAACATATATGAAGGTATATCTTACTCCATCGAAAAGAGACTGGAAGCTCATACCTGCAAGGATTCAAAGACAAGGTCAGCTTGTATAAAGCCTTCACCAATGCTTCCTTAGGAATGTTTAATGATCAATTAAATTCTTGCTGGCTTGTTTTTCTTATAAACAACAACTAGCAAGGATAATAACGTAACAACATACACTAGATTTGATCTACCTCCAGATCATTCATGCAGGGACCCAGCTAGTACAATATGGTAACAAGCACCTTAACATGCACTATTTCATAACTTAAACTAGGAATCAATAAATATTTAATAAATAATTTCCATTTAAATATAAAAAAACACAGCATCCGACAAAACAGAGGTAATGAATGAGAACTAGAATACGCTATTCTCTTTGCTTTAGTTAATTATGATAAACTAATGGTTCAGCTATGGTCAAAAGAAAAGAACCACGATCCATGCTCCAGCGCTCTCATCTCATCTTCTATAGCTTTTCACTAACTTGATTTGACAATGCTTTTGACAGACTTAGGAACAGGATTAGAGTGGGTAAAAGAGATAAAAGGATGATATTGTGTTGAGAGATGAGCGTAAGACAGGAAATCAAATAAAACTCTAATATCATGTTATGTTGGAGAATTGACTTGGTCCCTGAAAGACATAGACAAGTTATATTTATATTTACAGTAAAGCAAATAAACTGCTATTACATAATCCTTCAGCGTTGGACTAGACTGTCTTAGAATCCCAAAACCCCCGCAATCTCATCACCGCCTCTCATATGAGAATAAAACATTTTTACACATAAGACACACTTAAGTGGCACAGTACATCTGTATTATTCGCATAGCTCAGGATTTGGGAGATGTGTGGAAAGAATAGTATGAAAATCAAAAGCAAAAACATTATATTGGGATATTTTTCAGTTATAACGTTACAGATAACAATAAGATAACCCCCTTAGCCAATGCAAAATTTGGAACCATCACATTTTCTGAAGTAGATCAAACTACAAGCATCTGAAAAAAATATATTATTTTAATATTTTGACAGCTCCATATAATAAGAAAACTCTGCAATGCCAACAACATCACAAGTAAAGGCTTATTTGGCACTCAGGTCCCTTAATTCCGAAAAAAACAACATCCTCTGAACAATCAACAATTCCACTTAATTAAGACCATCACAATGGTAGAACTCTTATAGAATAGGTACATGCAGCTCACATGTAAAAGGCAAGATGATAAATATGAAAAACTAGAAAAAGTCACAAAAATTTTTAGATATACAAGAAACTTCCATTGACATGTAATTTTTTGCTAAATACCAATGTAGAAATGCATTAAAAAACGTAAATATTATGCAATCTCTCACTTTCCACTGTTCAGCCCATTTCATCAAGCTACGGTATCTCTGGTGTGTCTCTCCTCTCAGTACACCTAGGGAATCATATCCAGCAACTTACTCAAGCTTTTATCGTCATTGGGGTCATGATCTATTTCTAGATGAGAAGACACTAGACCATGACGCAAAATAAAAAAATTAAGCAGAAATTTTCTACACTCAGAAACTATTTATTCCCATTATCATCGACTTAACTTTTACAGCATGCTGCATGAATCAAACCTTTTCATGATAAACCATATCAATTTGGTAAAATCTATAAAGCACATGTATTTTAAAGCAAGTCTTTTGTCCATGTTTGATACATGTCCGAGCATCAGCACTTGTATGCTACTTTCCAGACATGCATCAGAGACATTGAAGCTATGCCAAATCCAAAGAACAAAAACTTGCATGTCAGTGCGCTTTAAACTTTTAAAGATTTTACCAGCTACATTAAAAAAAAAGATGTTTGGTTCATAAAAATGTAAAGCAATATATGCCAAAGTTTACATAGGCTAGATGTGAAAAAAAAAGATGTTTGGTTCATAAAAATGTAAAGCAATATATGCCAAAGTTTACATAGGCTAGATGTGATTTTAGTACAACTTTAACATGGTCCAAACTTGTGAGACACATATGCCTTTACTAGACTGGGCTCTACCAACATATACAATAGTGTCGTGTCGCACCCTACTACTCATATCAAAAGGTGTGTAGCTCGCCAATTTTATCTTTTGATAGCTTTTTATGTTAAATGAGGTGGTAGCTCATATCCAATATCTGATATCATACATAAAAGGCCTGCCTCCATGGGCGTTATCGTATCTTTATATAATTCTTCTAAGGAATTTGACATGTAGCTGTCGTATTCTATTTATATCCTTTGTCAGAGTTTATGCTTTCTCGCATATAAAAATATATGACTTGACATTTATCATCGATCCAGCGTCACATCCTTCCTGTTGTGGATCAATAGAAGAAAACATTCACGTAAAGGCAGGAGTTAATGTATAAAAGGTGTTTTTGCTAATCAAAGAAGATTTTGGAGAAAACTCTCGACCTTCACATACTTCCTTTTCCAGTATAGGGATGTGAATCACCTTACTCCATCCCCAAGCTAGAAGCATACTGTTGTAGATCTAAAAAAGAAGAGTATTTTGCAAGTTCATTCTTAATGGGAAGCTATCACAACCGCCATGCTCATATACATACTATAATATTATCTTGAGATTGGAAGTAAATGTCATACACTATTTGATTGATTTACCTTGATCATTGATGAACTGTGGCTATTTAAGAAAAGTCACGTAAAATCTTATTACTTAATTTTAAAAAGAATGAGCAGCCCAAATTATGGCAATATATCTTAGCTATCCATAATAAGAATATTTATAGGATTAATTGTTATTAGATAATCCAATGTCACCTTTCAAAGGAATATCCTTTAGGTTTTTTGACAAACAAATATCCCAAATTTTATCAGAAAGATCTAGCAAAGCTAAGTTTAACGAATGGAAAACAACTATTTTATCCATTCATATTCTTCCCACCAAGCCCCTCTCTAGTAGGCTAGTAGCAACTCCTCTAACCTCTATCTTAACTCGCTAATTTCCTCCTCTTTTTTCACCATCTCGGTACCCTCGGTTTTCTGCCTTTACTTCCAATTTAGAATTTTTTTTAGTGATTTTTTAGATGAGTGCAAAAAATTGCTATTTTTTTTCTACATTACATAGTTTTAAGTTTTTTGTTAATTTTTTCTGAGGTAAAAATAAGGCAAGATGGCATGTTGAAAAGTATATTTAACATTTATTGAGAACAAAAAATCATTGTTGTATCTCACATCTATCTGAATTAGAGAAAACCAAATCCGGACTCTTACAAGGATAAGGAGCGAACAAAGTCATCATTTATCGCCTAAGTTACCTGGACACATCATCTTAACTCTCTGTCCATCTCAACTCTCATATCCGTGTCCGACACTCCTCGTATCCGCGTCAGTGTCCAACAGTCTGTGGACAATTCTTGAATATATGCATTTATTTACAAACATGTACTCAATCAAATATATAATAAATGTTCAGTTTTAAACACTCGTGATACACTTTGTGGACGCATATCTCACACTTGACCTCAATTATGCAATTCGTTGAACTTGCATCGGGTTTGTTTGAAACCATACCCAGTTCATAAGTATGATTTTAAAGGGCCACTTTGATTTTTAGTTCAATAACAAGTGATTTTCAAATTTATACTCTACTTACTAAAAGAAACATAAAAATTTCATAGAAATTTAATTTCTCTTAGTATGTGAATGAAAATAATAATATCAATCTTATATAAATCACTAATTTCAATACGCGTATATATAGTCGTGCTCTATTTCATATCTTTTACTAATTTATTGTGTCTTGTATCCCCACCTGTGTCCGCATCCCGACCTGTGCAATATAGTGTATTGCATTACATAGGTTTAAAGGGTTTATTTTCCTCTAACAAGAAGTCAGAATACAACAATGATAACAATAAACCAAAATGTAAATCATGGACTAATAGACCCAGCTCCAAGCTAAAAAAATATTTAAGCGTCTCAAATTTAACGGAGGAGATGGTCATTATAGAATGGAAGAATAATATTCATTTAGCCGACCTCAAATATTGCGATAAATGCTCTATTATTGTTGCCTTTGTCATCGTCTCAATAATATTGTTACAAAAAAAGAACAAGAGAGCACATAAGCTTAGAAGTTATCTCCCACCAAATCATCACTTTAAAGAAGATTGTTGAAACCCCTCTCTTTCGCGATCTCCTTTAGCACAGTTGTCCTCATTCTGCTTGAACTCAATGCCTAAAACTTTACAAAGTAGGCAATATAAGAAGCCAACTTCTGTGGTGGAGTGTTTGGCTCATTAAAAATAAAATTCTTCCAAGCCCGCCTTAAGGCACTAACAGAATGCAGGAGAAAAGACTATCCAGAGCTTATGCGTATTGGTATTGGTTACAAATTATCCATTAAAATCAATTACATCTCGAAGAGAAGATGACTAATGATCAATAATCAACAACTTATCTTTCTAAAATTTCCAGCTTCAAGAGAATATTAGCAAGAAAGAATAAATGTTCATCAGATTCTACATGTGACTTGCAAAGAAAGCAACATGGTCCCCACTCCAACCCTTTTTAATTAGATTTTCCTTGGTACGTGATCTCCTCCTCTTTGAGTAGATATAAAAGAAGATTTAACTTTATTTAGAGTGATAGAATTCCAAATAAAATTGAAGTTTTTATTGATAATGCCTCCATCATTTATTAGACTATAGAGGGTTTCGTAGTAAATTTTCTAGAGTAATAAGGCCATTAGACCTAATCTTTATAGGAGAAGTGTGATGGTGAAAATAGTTTTTTTGATTTTTTGAATATAGATTTCGTTAAATTACCTGGTTCTAGGAAATTGTTTTGAAAAGAAGGAAGGTACGGTTAAGGTACACCAATACAAGAGAGGAGTTTTGAGTTTCAAGTAATAACAGTGGAGTTGAAAGAGGAAGATGAGATGCATGGTAGATTTTTTTCAATAAGAGAAAACATTGAAATACTGCCAAGTAAATGTCATGCAATGATGTTTTGACAAATTCTTTAAAGAAAAGTTAGCATGATGATATTAATCTCT